ATAGTTAAAGGAAATAATCAGCTGTCTTTAAATTTATCAAAAGTAAGATCTTGAGTGGCTCTAATCTAATCTAACAAACTCTTTAAAAGTCAGGAAATATGCTACTGTTGGTCTTAAAAAGGAGGGTACTTTCAGAGAGTTCTGAGATTGTCAGGAACTGATTTCTGGCAGCAACCTGAATGAGGCTGGAGAAGGGAGATTGTGGCCCCAGCTGGAATATTTATTTCAGACTTGTGGATTTCTCTTAAGGTTTAAAAATTTAAACTCCCTGTCCCCTCCTCTAAGACTTATGTTTTAAATGTTGGTTTCCCAGATGGTGGTGCTATTTGGGGAAGGAGATGGAAGCTCTGGGAGATGGGGCTTAGCTAGCAGAAGTAGATGACTAGGGTTAGGTCTCCAAAGGTTATACATGGGCCCTGGGTCCTCCATGATGTGAACAGCCTCTACCATGTTTTCCTGCCACCATGCATTCCCTACCATGATAGACTGAAACTGTGAGCCAGAATAAATCTTTCCTCCCTTAAATGGGTTCTCTCGGGCATTTTGTCATAGATACAAAAATAATTAGTCAGGATCCCGATTCAGCTAACCTTCGTGAAGACTCCCGGCACACAGAAATAATGTGTAGCAAAGAGGTTATTTAGGCTATTGACTTTTTGTAAATGTTGTTCTACAACAATAGAAAACTAATATAGATGGGAAAATAGTAGGTAGACAGCTAGGTTATTTTATTTGCAGTGTGTGTGTGTGTGTGTGTGTGTGTGTGTGTGTGTGTGTTTATTAATAGGGGCATGCATATAGCAAGAATGGGTGTGGAGGTCAGAAAACCTCAGATGTTGGCCCTTGCTGTTTTTCTGCTGTCTATGCCAGGCTGGCTGGTCTGTGATTTCTGGGGGATTCTCCTGTCTACCTCTCATCTCCCTGTAGGATCTCTGGGAATACAGACACACACACAGGCATCTGGCTTTTACATGGATTTAGGGGCTTTAAACTTATGTCCTCCCACTTGTACAGCGAGTGCTTTTACCTACTAAGCCATGTCCCCAGCCATAGATTGACTTTTTAAAAAGGGATATGTTTCTGAAATAATGTGATTGATAGCCTTGTGTTGATGCATCAATTTCTGTGCACCAATAACACAACCGCGATTGGGCATGACTGGACACTGATTTGTTGGGTATGTGGAATGAAATAATACCAATGTTGTTCTTGGCAACCACTTTTTATTTTGTTATAAAATTTCTAATTTTCTAATTGTTTATTTAAAAAAGAACAAAGAAAAAACACTGTGTGTCATATCAAAAAGTAAATAATACAATGACGAGGTGGGATATTTGACATAAATTAATGACTAGCACTTTTGTTGATAGGAAATAATTCAGCTATCAACTCTAACAGGGCAGATGTGGATGCATGGGATGGAGAATGAGTTTCTGTTTAGGAAAGCAGCATTGAGATCTTACTGAAGATGGTCCTACTTAAGGGAGGATAAGCCCTGTACTATGACAAACAAGTGACTACACTGGCAGTTGCTTGAGCTAAATTCCTTGCCCTTAAGTTTGACATCAAGTAGATCAATCTTACTTTTGATATACATCCTTTTGGGGCCAATATTGACAACAGACTGTCAATGGTTCAGAAACTAGATATATAGTTTCAGTACTCTGGTTCTCCTGAGACTAGAAACAAATGATTAACAGTGAAATGAATAGCATAAGTAGCTATAAATCAGTGGTTACATTAAAAAGTTTGCAAGTATTTAGAAACTTCTGCAAATTTGTCACTAATGTTAATAAAGTAAATTAAAGCAAAAGATAGTAAACCAATAATGAACTGTATGTGTCGTGTACATATATGTACATATTCCTGTGTGCACTCATGTGGGTTGTGAGTTTGCCCATATGGGTGCATATAAAGGCTAGGGTTGTCTGCCTCTATTGTTTTATATCTGATTTACACAGGGTCTCTCACTGAACCTGAGCTCACCAATTTGGCTAGGCTGTCTGGTCATGAGCTCCAGGTCTGCCTTTCTCTGCCTCCCCAGTCCTGAGAATACAGGTTGTGCCCTCCTGGCTAGTGTTTTACATGGGTGCTGTGAACTCAAACTCAGTTCCTCATACTTGAACAACAAGCATTTTACTGACTGAGCTATTTCCTCAACCCTCAAAAATGATCTGTAACATGGAAAATTACCCTTTCTTTGTCTTTATATATAAAATATTAGAGAAAAGCAGGTCATAAATACATAATTGAACCACATATTTAAACTGATTGTTTTTACAATGTATCAGGAAAATCTTATATAATCTGTTGTCTTTACCATACTAGAATCATCATGAGATAGGAAAGAATGCCAATGCAAATTCCCCCAAAAGATGCAGTGCTATTACCAGAAAAATAGAGAGAGAGGTTGGATTTATGTAAAAGTGGTCCTGATTACAGGAACATATGGCGGCTCAGCATCCTGTATGCCTTATCCTCCTACAGCTTGGTGTTCTCAATTATGTAGAAGTATGGTCCATTTTCTCAAACAGCAAACTCTATACATATTTCACCTTTGCTGCTTCTTATTTGTATACCATGCCAGGTTATATGGGCCTCAGTTCACAGACCATTGATCATCTAAATGCCACTCATTCAACTTGAGCACTGGGAAAATGGGTGATCCACCAGTCCCAGTGATTCTGAGATGGAGGGAGTTCCTGAGAACTGTGACTTTCAGTTTCAGAACTAGAGCAGGACTGTGCAAGCTGGGTTGAGTCAGTCATCCTAATCCCAGGTCTGTCTCTCTTACTCCTGCTCATGCTAACCTAGCCTGCAGAAAATTTTGATTGCATTATCAAACATATATTCACTCTTGGGGAATAGTTTGTAAGTTTTGTGAAGATAGGAACCACATCTCTACATGTTTCCTAATACTGAGAGAACTTGTGTTTAAAGTGAATCATAAAACTTAAAATCCTCCTTATATTTTCCAAACATTACACAAACTTCTTTAGTTCAATTAAGAACAGCAATGGCATTTTTCTCTCTCATCTTACTCTGCCTGTATAAACTTCCCTACTCCCTCCCCGGTTAAATAATGCTTAAATGGTATGAAAAACCAGAGGAAAAAGTATTAGTTCAAAGTTCTACTGAAATATACACATACAATATCTGAACATGAGTGCATGTGTATACCTGAAGGCTATATAACAAAAAACACAGTGCCAGGCAGGAGAAACCTCCATTCAAGTTGTTGGTCAGGGTAGTCAAAAGGACTCCCAAAAGAACACAAGCTATTGCCATAGCCCTTGATTGCCTTCCAGAACTTGAATGTAAGACCCTATTGCTGAAGACATGCTACACTTCAGACACAGGACTTGGAGCAATCAAGCTGGAGGCTTTCATGGTATCAGGGGATACTATACAAGCTGAAAGGGAGAAAAGCAATCAGTGGTCCTACCCAGCTGTAAAGCCTAATAAACAACAGTGCTTGGCCCAGAAAACCATTACTATTAGTGCAGTACTGGCATTTTTATCTTAGGGGTAATCAATAGCTGTTTAATTGGAATTAAAGCCTGCTCAATGGGAGGGAGCTCACGTGGTACTGTAAACATAGCTAAATACACGTAGCTGGAGAGGTTATAGACCCTAGAGAAAAATCTACTTTTACCACATCCCTAGATCAATGTGATTTCTTATTTCATTCTAAATATGTATCCTTATATTTACAGATAAGTGTTCTTTTCACCCCTCATCAAAGAAACTTCTTGTTGAAGCAGATGGAAACAATTTGAGAGTTCCAGCCCTGGTCAAATGCAGAGAATAAGTGTCTGTGAGACACTTAGCCCTAAGTAACACATCTTCAATGCAACCTCTAGACTTAGGATGAATTATCTCTCAATTCTCACCAGAGAAGTTTCCTTATGTAGCAAATGATGATTAACAGGGAAACACAAAATTGGCCAATGTGTAAAGAACAAGAGGCTGTAGGGTGCTTATCCCTGAATAGGGTACCTAGTTCCAACCACTGCCTCCCAAGGATCAGGAATCATTTTGGAAGAGAAGAAGGAAAGTTTGAAAGAAATGGAAGGGGTGGATGACCACAAGGAAATGCATATGAACCCACAGCAATGGTGACAGCATGCAAAAATCCTATGAAAGCTCAAACCAGACAAAATCCCAGCATAGACATGGGGAAGTAGGTAAGAAACCCCAACCCAATCTAAGGAACTTTTGGCTGTTGAGAAGGGGAGAGACAGTGTCTTAAAGGGATAGGACTCTGGCCCAGTGTATTGACCCATACTGGAGGACATTTGGGGACACAAATCAGACTCTATAGACTGCAATACACAGCGCATGCGCGCGCACACACACACACACACACACACACACACACACATTTGTACGTACATATATATGTGCATTAAACGTGTGTGTGTGTGTGTGTGTGTGTGTGTGCGTGCATTAAACTGGATGAGGGACTGTGAGAGTGTGGAGATGGGAGGGGATCTAAGTACAATCAAGTACTATATTGTATGAAAATTGACAAAATTAAATAAAAAAAGAAAAGCAATGGAAGGAGCTGGAGACATGACCCAGTGGTTAAGAGCACTGGCTGCCCTTGCAGATGACTCAGGTTCTGTTCCCAGCACCCACATGGCTTCTCACCACCATTTGTAAACTCCAGTACCAGGGGATCGGATATCCTCCTGTCTTCTGCAGGCATTGCATGCAGGTGGTACATATAGGCAAAAACTCATACAGATAAGATTTAAAAATTAAAGAAGATCAGTGGTTATAAACTTGCATTTTATTCTAGGACAAACTTGATTCAAACTCTTACCTTGTCTCTGGCTGATTATATTGGGTAAGTTTACTTAACCTCTTTGAGTTTCAATTTCTTAAGCCTGTAAAACAGAGATAAAAACACTGCCTACCCTTCAGGAATATTATAAGCCTTAAAATCCTGGCTGAGTGGTATTTTGTCTAACAAACAGCCTACAAGTAGTTATTACATGGTGGATGTTAATAAGCAATTACAATGGATTCATTGTGCTCTTCTGCATGTTGTTTCTCTTAGGGAGTTTATGCCATCCCAGGCAAAAGCAGTTATTAAAACTACTGATGATTGTTTGCAGCCTCAGTTTGGCCCCAACAGACTTTTGCATTCAGTGGTAGTATCAGAAGGGTCAGGTTTCAAGATTGTTCTACACATCAAACAGCATCAGATCACAGCCAGGAGGAAATATCAAACCCAGAGAGTTACAAATAACAACAGTAAAAACAATTCTCATTTTATGTCAGCATCCAAGAGAAACCGACCTGTCAGGGCTCCAGTGGGTCAACTGAGGTAATCAAAGCCATTCACTGTTCTTTTTAACCAATTGTTAAAGCTCTTTTTTTGAGCAGAATTTATAGTGATTCAGCTTCAGACATTAAAATATATTTCTTGGGTTAGGATTCTGTTTTGGGTGTGTTTTTTTCCCCTCTGAAAACACGAGTTAGGACGTTAATAATGACACTTTGGAAAACTTGAGATTCATTTTAGCCTGGGTAATCAGAATGAGGCTAAGAAATACTACTCACAAGATAATTATTTAAAGTAGAAATATATACTTTTGATATTTAACCAATATTTTAAACAGAGTCAACAGAAGTGAAGTTATTATAAAGCCATCTTGTACATATGTTTTCACATTGTTATCATAAACTCTTAACCTAAGAGTTCCTGGACAGAAGAAAATGTTGGTGAGAACAGAACCAGGAACCTGAGATTTCCATTACCTTAAGTGTCTGGATATGTTGTGGCTTTAATAGATGTTTTTATTTTAAGTTGCTGGCCCTGCTTTGGTGGCATTACAAATCATGCTTAGAGAATTCTGAAATAATTTTTTTGACAATTTACATGTACTTTTGGGAAAAAAAATCAAAACTAGTTTTGACTAAACCTAGAAATCTCAAGTCTGACTGCTCTCAATTTGAAATGTAGGAAATGGAATGAACTCTTAAAGTATTCATAATAATAACCAATTTGAATTTCAATTTCAAAGAATTTTTATAAGCATGAAGATTTAGGGAGAAATCTTTGCCATTTAATATTCCATGATTTTAAGACTATATTATTGTTTTGGCTATCAGAACATATCAAGTATCTAGCTTTACTTCCTTGGGTATGTGATGCTATGGTGCTCATGAATACAATGATTATAAGGATTCATTCTGAGATAGGAACAGCCTTGACAAACATCCTGCTGTAGTTTTGGATATTTGATTAATGATGATCTCGTTACATCTGAAGTTTTATTGGAGAATAATCATTTATAAGAACAATGTTTAGGACTTATAACAATTTAACAAACGTAAGACAGCATTTTTAAAATGGCTCTAGTAATTAATATGCATAGAATTTTGTCAGTTTTTTTTCTTTTTCCTTGAGCATTTCAGAGTTCTCCTCTCTAAAATTTAGGTCAACCCAGAATTGCCCAGGATTATCTCAAAGATATAAGCTTCAACCAAGAGTGATTAAAGTGACAACTTACAAAAATGGATCTAGAACAATCTTTGCCAAAATTATTGCACCGACGATCACCTTGGTAACTAATATTCCAAAGTTTTCAATTCCTCGTATTCTCTCTTGCTTTCTTTATAGTATAAAAATAAGAAAGACAGTGTTTATTGTGCTCAGATTTTCTTGTTAAATATTTGAATCTGTAAATTGCAGACATGTCCCGAACTCTTAACAGGCATTCACTTCTTTCCTCTTTTAAAATCAGCAAATTGATTAATGAAACAAATACAGTGAGTATATATTTTGAAGAGTTATTGAAACACAGAATATTTAAAGATAAGATTAAATAATAATGATGTATTCTTAGCATTCGATTTCCTTTTTATTTTCATATTTTCAGCTGCTAGAAACTATAACCCCTGTATACTGCTTAAGCTGTGAATTGTCAAGGGACTCACTTGACCTGTTTTTGTTTTATGGAGATGTGCTACTTTATTTGTCATAAATCACTTTGTCTTACCTGTTATTTTCTCCCAGTTGCTGGAGGAATGCACGGACAAGCTGAATTTGACCACGGCTGCCCGACGAGTGTTCTTGGCAACCGGCAAGGAAGCTCTCAAACCTGAAGACATACCCCCAGAAGCCGATGTTTATGTTTCAACCGGAGAGCACTTTTTAGATCCATTCAAAAAAATTGAAGGTAAAAATGAAAATAATATCCTAACATCCCCACAATAAATTGCTTAAGGGGTGCAATTAAAAAATGATTTTCTTCCTGTCTTTTTTGCATGGTTAAACAAAACTAATGTTTACGCATTTACAGCTCAGTAAGAGGATAATGTGCTTAATGAAAGAAAAATCCACTGACAGCCACGTTTATTGCCCTTCATTAGCATTGGTGCCTAATTTAATATAGATCTGAATAGACATTAGGGAGCCTGCAGGAGGTTAAATGGTGAAAATATAATAAATTAAATCAGAGATTATTGAATTTGCTGTTTAGTTTCTGTGACACTCAACAGACATAATTCATTAGACTTAATTCTCTCAGAAAATAGTTCAAAGTTTGAAGTGTCATCTGTTCATTTACACTCTTGGTCTTTTTCAGATTGTACCAACATAATTATGAAAATGTTGCAAGTAATGAGCTTATAATTCTTATATACATGTGATTCATGTGATTCTCCCAATTGCAGTTTTTCATAGAGTAAATGATGCAGCTTGATTTTTTAACCTTTATATATATACATATA